CCCCCCCCTTTCTGGTAGCCTGCTAGTTCGGAGGTCTTTTTTGGCCTGTTTTTAACTAAATAAAAATAACTTAACATATAATAAATAATTATTTAGAAGCAGGCTAATTTAAATTTCATTTTTGTATTGTAATTTTTATATTAAACAAAATACAACGCCCACAGTATAATATTAAGTGTTGGGCTGAAAGATGCAAAAAGGCCTGTATGGGGCTATGTAAAATATTTTTTGCAACTTACTAGGTTTATCATTTGTCATTTTTTCCCCCGATAATGTCGATAATCGTCTGTTACCTGACTGTTGACATCGACATCACGATACTTACGAGACATTGTTGATATACGATAATATCGTCATATCGCCCAGCCCTAGTGCGCTTTGTGCTTGTCCTGAAGCTCGCAGCTGCGGTTAAATGCACTTGCATCTACTTTTATGATACGAAATTGACGTAAAACATCTGATAATTCGAAATAGATCTGTGTATTAGTGTGAATGCAGCCTATTAAAGCTGCCACTGTCCATGATCTCATCAGTAATAATCAAATGGCAAAAAAAAAAAAAACATAACTATGATTAGCCTATCTGTAAACTTTCGGATACTTAAAGCACTCCCAGATAATGAAAGTGCTTTTTGTTTATCCCTTGTAATTGTATTTTCCCCCAGTATTACTTTATATTTGCTTGTATGATTTAAAAGCTATATTTACTTTTAATTCTTAACATTAATCAATTATATATTTAATTTAAAGTAATTAATTAACAATTTTTTTAAAAAGTAGCCTGCTTATAATTTAATAAAAATGCACACAATAAATTTGATATAATCTTGATGCATCGTGATATCGAATTGAATTGTTGACATGATAACCGTAATCGAATTGAATCGTGAAACCAGTGCTGATTCACAGCCCTAAGTTTCCCACAGCAATCCTTCAGTTTCACAGGATTGCTTTTTTAACCAATGAGCTCTCCACGACCTCTGAGATCACAGAATAAAGATTTTTGAAAGATTTTAGATACAGACCAATTTTCTAAATCACCACAAACTGATTTGTGAACCATTCTTACTAACTCACTGAAGAGAGCTGACTGAGCAATTCATTCACAAACCAAAAACTATGGCTTACTATCAAGTTTTACTCTACACAAGAGCAGATAAATATTTTACAGAAAAAGTAACTTCCATGAGCTTTCCCAAGTCTAAAAAAAGCACACCCGTTTTTGGTATTTCCATGACTGTGGGAAGCCTTGATTCACTATCTAAATAATGATCTCCACCTTTGGGAATTTAAGGAAATGCTGTAGCTACCTTAATGATTCACATGTAGAAAGCAATCGTGTCATTAATTAAATTGCTTTTCCAACTGTGTAAATTTAGAGCTGCTACAACACCGAAACTGAATAGTTAAAAAAACAGCACAATTCAGTTTAGGAACATTTCCTAAAAAATTAAAATAAAAATGAAAACCTGAGAAAAACATTTGTAGCATTTGTAATAGAGTAAAACGAGGAAACTGGCTGAACGTCTTAACACCTCTGAATGAATATGTCTGCAAGGCAATTCATACTTCATGTCTAAAATATGATTCACTTACCCAATTCAAACATTTCAAACCCTGCTAAATAGTCTGCCGTTATGCCATAAAACCAGGAGTCTCAACCAGGCTGGTGGGCATCATATAAGCTACCAACCCTGAGCTGAGAATTTGTGGGATCGCATCTTGATTTTTTGCTCTTCTACTGTAGAGAAGGAAATTTACAGGCCTGTCACCGTTATGCAGCCAGAGGCCAGAACTGGGATTAATCCAACCTGTGGTGGTGCCTATGGTTCACCATAAATCTTCCCCGATTGAATGTAAATTGGAAAACTATGTATGTCGGTATACATCACTGGCATAAAGCACGTGCTGCCGCCCGCAGGTCTGCCATGCTAAAATATGCAAACCTAGTATTCCGCGATCGTGTCCGTGTGTGCCGGTTTCATGCCTTCATGTGCATGCATGTAGGGCACAATATTTATGGGCAGTGTGGTGGTTTACACATTTGCATTATAAATCTCAATTACACTGCATTATTTGCTCAGCATTGTGCTCAGACAAAATCCTCACAAGTTGCCCCTGCAGAATCTGCTCGTAAATTCTTAATAAACTGCAGTGCAGACCTTTGTGTGGCAATGACCTAAATCCTGCATTCTCCTCGTCTATGCACTACACTAATTTCTTTCAATTTTAATCGAGCTCTGTTCCAGCCATTAAACCGGCCCAAACATTTCTGGCAGCATCTGCGATGATCCAAAAACATCTACATACAACAGCTAGATGTTGTGAAATGGATTCAGAAGGCCTGATTCTCAGACAAGACGCACCTCCCGCTGATTTTTAAAAGGCCTCTCTGTACTCATCAACGAACACCCACACTATCCGCTTGGTTACCGCTGTCTTATTTGCATCCTTGGTTGGCCTCCAGATGCAGAGGAGTATGTTTTGTCACATCCTCATTTTGATTAGTTAGGTTTAAGTAGTCGAGCTTGCTGCTAGGATGTATTTGTGAAGAGTTACGCAATACAATCCATGCTTTCAACATTTATCCCCCCCAATCTTATTTCCCCCATTCTGCATCATCTTGTTTACCTGTACAAGATTTCTAAAGAACGCTGTTCTTGGCATATTCAACTTTCACTGATATTTTTGGCCCATCAACACATGGCGGCTCTGTGGTGGTGTCTGTTGGCAATCTCAGATGTAACAAAAGTACATGACATGACAAACTAAACGAGCAGTCAGGAGTGATGCTATAGCCCACCGCTGTGTATTCTGTGGCAGGGCTTTGAAATGACAAAGAGAGGAAGGAGGACAGAGAGTAGGGGGAGGAGTGCTACAATTATTTGCTTTCCATCCCTCCGCAGGCTCTTCTGAATCTGATGATTCATCTTTCTGTATAAGAAACTGCTTCTCTTTGTTCATTTTTCAGCAGTTAGCCTCTGGCAGCCTCGTCTGCACAAGAAGGTGTGAGGAGCAGTCTAAATATAGTTTGGCATAAACATATATAAAAGAGAAAAAGAAAGCTGCCACCTGGTAATTATGCTGCTAATTAAAGACGAAGCACACTTAAAGGATTCAGGTCTCACTTGGGGCTTTCCATCCCTCATTCCTTTCCCTTTTTCTTCACCTACTGCCCTTAATTCCTCTATTTGTAGGCAGGACCAGAGGAGGGGGGGACCAATTGGGACTGGGCTGCATGTCAGGAGTTGCTCACACCTGTTTAAAAGCAGGGGTCGCACTAGGATAGACATCTCCTCCCACAACCAATGCACTTGCTAATGCATACAGCAATCCCTACTTACACTCACCCAGCATACAAAATGAATTTTGCCAAGAACTAAATATGAATAAAAACTGTCTGTTCTTGAGACTGGTGTAGAGAGATGCAGACTTGCTTGTTTCACAAATATGCAATGACAATCTAAATTCGGAGAGATTTAAAAAATAAATAACTTAAATTTTATATTCAAATATTAAAATATAACAGTATATAATAAAAACAATGTAAACAAATATTAGTAGCACTAGTAGTAATACATTTATTTTTGTATTACTAGTTACAATATTGTTATTAAATTATATATTTAAATAAACTGTTAAAAAAAAACAAGAATAAGAATAATTAAATTTTTTTTTAATTATGAGCAGTGAAATCTCATCACGCCTGTCTTTGGCACGTGTCGTGAAGTTCATTTTAAATGCGTTCTACATGAAAATCAATCCCATTACTCAACAAATTGGCAGGTTCAGTATAATGGACACAGTTTACAAAATATAATGCATTTTCATTTGTGCCAGTTTGTGCAGATAAGCAAACACATCCACAGTCTCACACACACAAACAAGCACCTGCACAGTACCCATCTGTTTTCTGCAGGGGATATCATTGTATTCACAGCACTGAATAAGAAACATCAAAGACTTTGCAGGACGTGGCTGTCTATGAAAGCTTTCACCATCTCTGAACTGGACATTTAGTATTCCTCTCCAATTGGGTCGGCATAGGTAGCATTACTACAGACTTGAAAAGTGGAGCTGCTTCACATCGGATCAAAGAGCAATCTAAATAAAATATCAAAAGTGCAGAGCTTCGGTTTGCATGAAGGCTGCTTATTATGCAAGTTTATGTTAAAGGAATCTTTTTGAAAGCACACTGCAGATGTTCACAGGCATGGCTAATTAACAGCCATAACCATGCGGCAAAATAGGATAACGCCGCGTATCTTTACATTCCCTCCCTGGGTGCTGCACTGCGCTGCATGGGCAAAATGTGCTTGCAAATGCATGAACTCAAGAAATTAACATCTAGCGCGACCCTGAGCTTCACAAGTTCTCGCCGCTAACTCTTTAGCTTAATGCAGTTCAAAGTGTAAAAGCTATTGACACATCAAACTGGTAGTCTGCATGCTGCATGGTGATGTTAGCACAGCGTGACGTACTCTTAATTAAATGACAAACTGAGAGGAGAGGCCTTCGTGGAGGGATGAGTGATGGGTGATGATTCTGCCATGCAAAACCTCCTTCCCGAGCTCACAATATCACTTTCAACAATGCTATTGAGAAGAAAAAAAAATATCTAAAAGAACCATTGCAGCACATACGCCGGTTTGATGTTTACTGGAAATGTTCCCATATTATTTTCACGAAGCCTGTGAACCTGTCATTGTCACTCAGCTTCAAGAATAAGAAGAGCTTTCCAGGAAAATAAGTGTCGGACTACAGGGATTGGATTTACAGACCCGCAGTGCCGTCTTTTGCATCATGGTCTCGTCACAATTTTCGAAAGGTGCTGGGAAAAAGCCAGGGATAGGAGTTGGCTGGGAGATAAATTATGCACTGTTGCGTTTCACTGGAGTGCTTCATAAGGATTAAGATTCTTAAATGAAAAACAAGAGCATGGATAATTCACCAAGAGAAGAGATATTTTTTTCCCGCAAAACAGACTCGAGTTCAACTTACTTGATCCGCAATAGCGCGGCCCAGCTTGTCCATTCTTGATCCGGCTTCGGCAATCTTCTTCGCAGCACTAATCACATCAGAGTTGTTTTTGAGTGGTCCTTTACCCCTGGGGGGAGAAAAAAAACCCCAGCAGTTTCATTCACAGTTACTGTTCTGTGTGCAGTCTTATGTGACGTGCTAGTGAGTATGTGCGAGCATGGGTGATACATATCAAAACGTCAACAGATAAGAATGGCTGCTCATATTGACAAGGTTGATGAAAAAAAAACAGGTTCTTGTTTCACAGCCTCACACTCACAGGAACAGCGCAGCGTGAACAGGGCTTTTTGAGCAAGACGAGATCAATTAGCTTCCAATTGATTAAGCTCATTAAGGAGGAACATCCCTCTCCAACACGCTTCCATTCACTAGTAGCTTGAAGACTTCGAGGGGGGTACGAATGAACGAGATACGCATAGACAGATGGTGTGAGCTAGCAGCAGCTCCCACCCACTTCTGTGATGTCTGGTCAGCTTCCTGGGGTCACTGCCACTTCAGTTCATTTAATAGTTCTGGCCTCATCCATCCCAGCTCACCCCCACCCCCCACACAGCTCCCTGGTTACGATCAGGCCAGCCATTTGCCAGTTCTGTGTGCCCACAAGGGACTGCAGGGCACAGTTGGCAAGTGGCGCAACCTGGATTCAAAGCTGCTCTCTTCAGGCTAAACTGAACAATCCAACCCACAACAGATGGAATTTTGTGTTTTTGCTCTCTCTCTCTACACTCACCCCTCCCTATTACTCTCTTCTCTCTTTCTTTCTGTGCTGTTCAGACAGGGTCCTCCTGGCAGCATTGCATCTATCAGAACAGTCACAGGAATTCACTAGACACCCCATCTCAAAAAGAAAATGCACCCCACAAAGAGCAACCAACACATCTAACATTTTGAAACACAAAGGACGGGTTATTTTGATGTTGCTTTGGTGGTGGCCCACCCACAACCTGCCCTAGGTGAGAGTGTGGCCACTACAAGGTGACTGTCGAGCAAGAGTGACTTCATCTCACTTGACAATCCCCACACTCAGATATGCAAATCTGATTGAGTGCCCATGAATTAGCCACTGATACTAGTTCCAGATGGGGGTAGTGCGTGTGTGTGTGTGCGTGCATGCGTGCGTGCGCGTGTGTGTGTGTGTGTTAACTGCTCAAGCACTGGACCACAGCATGCACAGACAGGTGGCTCCAAAATATGTGACACGAATCCAGGCGACACATGCTTTATTCATGAGCAGAAAGGGACATAAGCAGAATTGGTGGCAAGCCGCTTCTCTGCAGATATTGAGGCTGGATAAAGGCTCCCGAAATCAATTTCCTTTATAGCATTAACCTTCATGGGACTGTGTACCCATCCAAGGTCGAGGGGCAATAATTTGGGCGTGGACTGAATTAACTTTCCGAGACCTTCACTCAGCACATTTCTGCAGGTGACACATCAGCACCGATTGCCATTTTTCATGCAAATGCCACCAAATCTGTGCAACCACACTGACAGATGTACTGCAGCCTTGTTGCTTTCTTACTCGAGACAATGACAGATTTCTGGGGGCCTTCAACAAGAGGCATGAGTGTCACCTTCAATGAAAACAATACCATTCTCCTGCCTAAAACACAAAACAGCCGACAGATACATCATAATTAGGGCACTAATGAAAATAGTTGATGAACATTTTAAATGAACATAATAAATATATGTTATTAATAGGTAATGATAACTTTTGATTAAAGTTTTTTTTTTAGTTTTCTGTAAGGGGTAGGGATAGGATTAGCTTATATAAAAACAATAGAAGTCTATGTAATGTCCCCATTTAGATGTCCGTGCCTGTGCATAAATACAATGGGCGATCAGTGCGTCAAGAGCACTCATACACGCATTAATATAACGGAATCACGCGTTCTTACTGTACGACTCCTTAACCTTGATTGCAGTTTTCATCCATCAAAACTTTACTAGCAAGACTAGTTATCCAGTCGAGAAAACGTAGTTTGCGTCTCATCTGGTCATACAGTGGTGGGATGTGTTGACAATCCGTTCAGTCTGTACTTCACACAGCACGTGTGAGGGCTCGCACTCTTCAGAGACAATCACAGAATATGACAGAGCTCGTGTTTTAAAGTGAAACACACTGGAATGTTCACTGAAAACGCAACTCGAGTCTCTGTTCTCTCTGCAATCTCTGATGTAATCAGCCTGGTTTCCTTTATATTAGTGCTGTTTTGGACAGATTGTTTGAATGCATTCGCTTACTGGATCATTGGACTGAAAACTTTCCTGGAGTTTAGCAGCTTAAAATGATCTGATCGCAAGCAGAGAAGCAAAAGTGGGTTAAAGGGATAGAATAGAAATTGTGCTTCAGTCATTTTGCGTTAATTATTTTAACACGTTAAGGATTGTAAAAAATTAATTACATGCGTTAACGTTGACAGCCTTAAGTAATATTACTATAAGTGTACACTTAAATGTAAATTTATATAGTAAGAAGTTTACACATAATACAGGTTTTCTTTATATTTAAGAAATGAATTGTGGTGGACAAAAATTTGACATCAGTATTCAAGTGTTCACTGCACTGGGGAGGAATGAAGACTTGTTCCTGAACAGGAGGAAGCAGCAAACAAAGCTGCTTTTACCCTATTCTTGAGATAAGGCTGAGTGACAGTCAACCTACAGTCATTACTATGGGTGCAATATTGGCGAACGGTGTCCTCAGCATGATCCACTTTAAAAAGGAGTCTTGGTTAGCATAGGCAGGGAGAAGCGATAGTCCAAGACATTTTCCATCTCCGTCTCTCTCTCTCGCTCGCTCGCTCACACACACACACACACACACACACACACACACACACACACACACACACAGAGTGTCCTCTGGGAGAGCAGATGGCAGTCACTCTCAGGTGTGCGGCACATGAGCGTGCTCTGTTACACCTAAAATGACCTTTTCCCTGATTCTGTCAGCATACAGGGGAAGAATTCATGTGACCTTTCCTTGCGTTAGCAGCTCCTGCCCTTTGTTGTTTTTAAATCAAATCTTTTTTTAAGGTCGAAAGAGTTTGTTCCCTTTCGAACCCTTTCTTTTGGGATCACGTATGATGGAAAGAGGCAAGCAAATGAGGCAGGTAAAAAGCCCACGAAAAAAAAATCCACAGCTGATTTGCTTCCACTGAGAAGGGAAAAAAGGCTCTATGAGATGGAACAGAGTGCTTGTCTCAGTTAATATTAGACCTTACTAATTGATGGCCGATTTAGGTAAATGATGGGGAAATTAGGTATAAAAAAAATAACAGATTTCACCAGGCTCTCTTTCAATATTTGAAAAGATTTCCCTCTAAAAAGGCTTGTGCACATTTCATCGCCAATGCAAACTGCCATACAAACCAATATAAAGCTGAACCACTGAGCCGGGACGCAGTGAAACCGGAGCAATAGTGCATGGCCAGAGAGGTCTATTGAGTTGAGTCTAAAAGAGATGTGTGTGTATGTGTGATCTTTGACAGGCATTCGAGCAGGGAAGAGGGTGGATTGAGCTCACCTGGTGAAGTCTGTCATCTCCATCATGATCATGCACATTTGCTTGGCCAAAACGATGATGTCATTTCCGCTGTCATCCCACTTGGATACCTCGGCGTCCAGCTTGCTCTTCTCCTCCTGGAAACTGGCCACCTGCTCGGCAATCTTTGCCTTCTGCTCCTGGGGTAGCTGAGCCATGATGGCCTGCCAATTCCACAGAGAATCTCATATATAACACACCGCACATAAATCTGCTCACAATACGCTGATCTATGACTGTTAATGAGGTGAAGAGATGACAAAGGCTATGCAATTAAAAAAAGAAAATTGATGATCTTTTTTGTTAAATAACTATTTAATTTTCTCTTAAAATTTGGAGCACCAGCACACACACGTGGCACACATTTGTGCATTAACTGAGTGACTGGGATTCCCACTGGAGTTAGGGACTAAATCAAAAGCCTCTGGGGGGGTGGAACAGGAGGCTGGACAGTGATTACAGACTTATATAATCACATTCTCACTCAAGCACAACCTCCACTGCCCAGTTTTCTACAAGTCTCTAAACAAAAATACTACTCGCTTCACCAGCAACAAGGTTCAACGGAAAATGTAAGTCTTCTGCAGCGCTTTTATCTTTAACAAGAGCTTTCTGTTCAAGTCTTGAGCTCTTAAAGTCTCCTGCAATACCCTAGACGATTAGAGCTGAATATTTTTTCAGTATTTTTTGTTTTGTTTTCATCAACATGCTCACATCACTATGGAAAAGGAGGGCGAGAGGTCTGTAATTATATTCGTGCGAGCTTGGGGAACAAAGAATATGCGAATGGCACAGCGGATGTAAATATGAATAGATGACAGCCTTACACGAGCAGGAACAATTCTTATTGACAAAAGAAAATCCCAAAATTTTAAAATGCATTTATTAAAAAAAACTTGGGCCACATATTGCTTTCCATTTGTGCTGTCACACAAGGAACTCTGAAGAAGTGCTCGCAGGAAAAGCTAGCACTCTTACTAACAAGATCCCCAAACACAACTTGGTTCCCGTTACCTCTCTCTCTCACAACACTGAATTTAAAAAGGAAAACAGGATGCCAATCATTGCAGTGTCTACCATCACCACAGCTGTGGACTAGAGAATATATTCAAACTAATAACAAAATAATAATAATAAAATATATATTCCCTGTTCCTTCCAGCTATGTAGGGACGGATTTTCATAAGCATTACCAAGGCAACAGAGGACGATGTGAAGGGAGGGGTGAGCGAGAGAGGAGGAATGGAGGTAGAGAGGGGGCGAGGTTTGATGTCTGTTTCGCTGGTGGCAACATCAGGAGCGCTGTCGACACGAAATCAGTACAGAATCTTAAAAACACTGATTCAGAGTTTCTGTGCTATTGGTGATTAACAGTGAAGCAAAGGTGGATTTGGCCGTGATGCTGCAAATCTTACCGGTGAATAAAGCGTTTAGCACCTCGCAACCCTGTCTACGACTCTTTAAATAGATTGTGATGAAGTTTTATTATAGAAACACTGAAAAAGATGGAAATTACTACGTCTCTGGACAGATTCCATACAAGTATCTACAAAGGAACCTACTTACTATCTTGTAATTTTAGGATCGAGTTGGACACCTTTTTACATCCCTTAGTGGCTCCATAAACTGGCCGACCATGAAACCAAAGCTGTGAACTACAAAAGCCCCAACTCTCACCCGAGCGCTCTGTCCGGCGATGAGCTGATCGTCTTCTGTCTGCACGCTGGTCCTGCTACGAGAATCAAAGTCTTCCGTCTCAAAGTCAGAGTCGTCCAGTTCCTCTGGGGTCTGTGGGGGATATAGAATATAGAAAAGATAAAGAAAAGCATTAGCAAGCTCTTTCAACAACTCAAGTCACTTAGGGACAGCAGCAAAAGCTTAAGGCCATGATATACTCACAGCAAAGTTCTTTCTCGTTGGGTTAAAAAGTAGCACGAAATACCTTTGCCTTGGTATACTGTTAGCAAACAGTGATGCCATTTGGCATTTAGATGAGCTAGCAAATTTTTGCTGTGCGCTTTGCTATTGTTCTTGTCTGGAACGTTCACTTAGGCAAGTTGTTTCAAATTCTTTAAAACCGTTCTCATTGTAAATAAAATGTTACATTTTCTAAATGTTAGTAGTGATGCCACTCAATACTGATAAGTTGTGGATGATTGCCTCTGCTAAGAGATTGCTTAAAGGGATAGTTCACCCAAAAATGAAAATTGTCAAATTACTCACCCTTGCGTCGTTCCAAACCTGTAAGACCTGAATTAAGATATTTTTGATGAATTCTGAGAGCTCTCTGACCCTCCCATAGACAGCAAGGATCCTTACACAATCAAGGCTCAGAAACGTAACAAGGACATTGTTAAAATAATCCACGTGACATCAGTGGTTCAACTGTAATTTTACGAAGCTACGAGAATACTTTGTGCGCAAAGAAAACAAATAATTAATTTATTAAATCTGTCTCCTCCGCATCACCCTATAGCACCATTTTAGAGCGTATCATACGTAAACAACGTATGCAACGCATGTCCACGGATACGTTGTTTACATTCAGATCAAAGCGTAAACAACGTATCCGCGTACGGTGCTGCTGACACAGAACAGCATACGTTGTTTACATATGTGACACTCTCCAAAATGGCACCAGGGTGACGCGGAGGAGATAAATCTGTCTCCTCCGCATCACCCTATAGCACCATTTTAGAGCGTATCATACGTAAACAACGTATGCAACGCATGTCCACGGATACGTTGTTTACATTCAGATCAAAGCGTAAACAACGTATCCGCGTACGGTGCTGCTGACACAGAACAGCATACGTTGTTTACATATGTGACACTCTCCAAAATGGCACCAGGGTGACGCGGAGGAGACGAATTGTTGAATAAAGTCGTTATTTTTGTTTTCTTTGCGCACAAGAAAAAATTCTTGTAGCTTTGTAAAATTACGGTTGAACCACTGATGTCATGGATGGATTATTTTAATGATGTCCTTGCTACGTTTCTGAGCCTTGATCGTGATAGGGTCCTTGCTGTCTCTGGGAGGGTCAGAGAACTCTCAGAATTCATGAAAAATATCTTAATATTTGTTCAGAAGATGAATGAAGTAGGGCTGGGCGATAAATCGATAACGATAATTATCGCACAATATAAATTTCCTCGATAAACGATAACAAGGGGTCGATATATTTTCTATATAAGGTTTATGAGGCAAAGGTGAAACGAAAGAGCACAACTCATTTGAAGCGCGTCACTCGGACCGTTTATCCGCTTGGATCAAAGTTTAAACGGCGGTACAGTGCAAGCTTCACTAGAGCAAGCTTCACTGGTGCAGATGTGTTCACTCGCTGATGAGTCTCAATCAAACAGTGCTGTGAGATCCAGTGTGAAGCACTTGCATTCAGCGAAGAACACAAATAACTTAGTTTACAGCCAGATGAAACAGCGCTGACACACAGGAGAAACACTGTGCGCAACGATACGGTTAGAAGACTTTTTAATCTACAAATTGCCATAATTTACCATGGATTTACTGTAGTAGCACTAACTGCAACATGGTATTGCGTCAGAAATGTGGTTATTTGTGTTGAATTTATATTAATGTAGACATGGTTTAAATGTATTGGAGGAGTAATGGAATATAATTACAATATATTTTTTTGTGATTAAACTATAGCGTTTATGCATTTATACTAAATTTATTTAGACTAGCTATAGTTCTTCATACAAAGACCTAAAAACCATATTACATTTTTACCATGGTATTGAGGTGCTATATTTGTGGTTTTAACTGTGATTACCATGATCTAAATGCATGCTACTATAGAAGACCAGTGGTTAATAAAAAAAATGTAAAAAAAAAACTAATTAAATTAGAAATAATTAAATTTCACCATATAAAAATGAGGTTGCTACAATACTTAGGCTACGTTCACACTGTCAGTTTTTGGGATTGATAACTGCATTTTCTTTACAGGTGTGAGTCTCGAAACTGTGTTTAGAATACTGTCTGTATGAACGTGCAATGGGAGTCAAGCCCGTATTCCTTATTAGTAACCATAGTAAAATAAAAGATGGCGATGTCCATAAAACTGAAAGTCTTATCACTTTCTGACACGACAAGTGTCCAATCGAGCCGCGAGTTCTTTAGTCAAATCTTCATTAACCGACAGCAGCTTTTAAATTTGGGTGGAGAGCGGAGCATTTGAATCGTGCGCAGAACACAAAACTGACGGGAGCTTCTCCGGTGGAAAACTGACCAGATCTAAAACGTTCAGATGACACGCAGCTCATTTCTCCATCACTGTAAGTTATCGAAAACACGCATGAAAACATGTAGCACACGGCAGAGCGGCTCTCTCTCGCACAGTATGATGTGACAGACAACTAGTTGTCCAGTCCTGTTCCGTTCACACAGCGTGTGTTCCGAGAATGCGGTTGTGAGTCCTGAAAATTTACGGGTGTGAGTTCGGTTACAGAATGTCACGCCCGTAAATAACCGAACTGTGAGTGAACGTAACCGTATTAAGGACTCAAAAATAAGACTGAAAACCGTATTCTGCTGCTGTGTGAACGTGGCCTTACAGATATTACTGATTTTGATAATGAACAAATCTACATCTGCATCCTAACTTAAGCTACTATTAAATGTGCATTTCTAAGAAACAAAAAAAATTATATTATTAATATTATCAGGCAACACAAACTTGTTTACAAGTTTAAACAATATTACTCATTAGAATGTGCAGAACTATGAAATCATTTTTTTTCTATTAAGATATTTATTTTGTATAAGATATAAAAATGACTGGAAAAGTGTTAAGAATTCAAAAACGTGAAGTGTTTGTCGTGTTCTGACCATAAATAATAGTTTAAAACCACAATTAACTGTCTGATTTTTACAACTTTCACATTGGATCAAAAATCTGCCTGAAAACTTGAAAAATTAAAGTTTGACATTTATCGTGATAATTATCGATATCGACTGATACGAAAAAACATTATCGTGATAATTTTTTGGCCATATCGCCCAGCCCTAGAATGAAGGTCTTACAGGTTTGGAACGACATTAGGGTGAGTAATTAATGACAATTTTCATTTTTGGGTGAACTATCCCTTTAATTGAGCCGAGCAGTTTTTAACATTGCTATGTGGTTGCTAGGTGCATTTCTAATAATATTATACTCCCTGGATAGGTCCGAGAACCTCCTTCAATGCAACAAAAAGTGTTGTTGAAGCGTAACACTTGGCCCAAGTAATTTTAATAAACTCCAACCTCAAATTATGAGCAATTATAATAGTGATACTTTCCTTAGCAAGCACTCCAAGCATAAAAAACCTACCTATGCATTTTTAAAGCAAAAACGTAATGGTGGAAGTTTTAGCAGTAAAATGTTTCTACTGGTCAGCTGTAAAGAGAAACAAAATGATCTGGCGCACCAATGCAGCAGGTACACCACGTTTTCCCTGTACTGAACTAACTCTCTTTCTCTCATATCCCTGCACTGAATGTCAAACATGCCTCTTATAACTCTACTGCTCTATTAGTATGCACTTGCGAGCAGAGGGACCTGTTTGCAGAGGGAAATGGTGGAGAATGGGGAGGGGTGGCAGGGGGGAAGAGCCCTCACTGACAAGAAAATGCATTTCAGCTTGATAGGAGAAAGAACGAGATGTGAGAAGATACGGATGTATTATTTCGCCAGTGCTGCAAGCCGTGCTTATCCGACTGTCTGTACAATCCATTTATGAGGAGATTCTGACTGGCTCACGATGCAGCTGCTCCAATAATAGACACCTCAAGCATCCCAAAACTCTGCCTGCTGAAGATGACATCAAAACAACATACAGCCAAACAAAGTCAGTCAAGGTGTGGACTATACTTTAGAAGTGCCAAGGCTCATCTCTTACCATGTTTTGCTGTATCTAGAGAATCACACTGGTGCAAAAATTTGGATTTTAGGGTAAAAGCGCTAAAATTTAAAAGTAATACTTGTCGCTAGCAGGGTTGTGAATACGCTTTTTGAAATCTTATTTTAACTCCCAAATTTAAATATAAGGAAGTAAACAAAAAGATTAAGATTTCTATTTCAAATAAATATTCCTCAGTTGAACTTTCTATTCAAAGAATTCTGAAAAAAGTGGTTTTCACAAAAATATTAAACATCACAGCTGTTTCTTGAGCATCAAATCAACAGTAGAATGATTTCTAAAAGATCATGTGATTTTTAAGTTGTAATTTTTTACAATATTCCTATTATTTTGATCAAATAAATGCAGCCTGGGTGAGCAAAAACATGCTTACCCTTGCTTAACTTTTGAACAGTATTGTGGATAGAAGCATCTATTTAAAACGTGCATTTAGTTTATATATATATATATATTTCATGACATTAAATCACATTAACTTTGACGATCAACTTAATATAACACTTCATTTCCAAGAATGCATTACCGCTCTTGAATTTCATTTCCATAAATTCCTCTTCCTTTCAATTCCAATTCAACTTCCTGTGTAATGCCACCCATTAAATTCGAATTCCAACCTATGAACTACAAGGAAGCCAATTCTGGGAATTCTACATTTTGCACAACCCCAGTCGCTAGTGTAGATCCACCGTGTGCCGAGTGATGGAAACCACAGACAGCTCAAAAATATCTACCTTGCCATCCAAGAAAATTCATCACATCTATAAACTAGGGCAGTAGTGAGCAGGCATTTGAATAAACCGTCTAAGACGCCTGAAGCAGTGTAGGTAAGGTGAGGTGCCTTTGCAGGCTACAGTAACCGCTCAGCAGCTATGAGGATCTGTGCTAAGGAAGGGCCATTAGTACCAGTGACATCCCCTCAACAGAGGAGTCGAGGGCTGCCTGCCTGTCAAGTATTAGGTGACGGCCGGCCGGCAAGGACTACGAGTGCAGTACTTACCGAGGTTAAAGACTCTGTCCATCTTAAGTAGCCTAAGCTGCACACTTGTCTCTTCCGATCGAGGATTTCCTGTGCGGTGGAGAGGTTGATGCCCACTGGGCACTAGTGTTGGCTGATTGGCTAGCGCTCAAGCTCTGTCTAAACGTATGAGCTTGACATGGCATGCGTGTGGAGGGAAGCAACTTGAAAGTCAAACATTAAAGAACTTTTTTTTTTTTTTTTGCTATCTCAATGTCTGCAGGATGTATTAAAACAGTGCTCTCTAACAAACCCCAGCGATCGCCAGACCTTTGGGCGGTTTTCTTATCGGTTCGGACGAGTCGTCTCGGAACAAGGGCCCTGAAGCGTTTAAAAATACTATACAGTCGGAAAGGAACAAAACAAGATAGCAAAGATCACGCCTCTCCTTTCGACCCAATGCAGGCATAAAGCGTTTCAGCGTCAGGGGAAAGTTCAACACTCATGTTAAACCAACAGCAAACAAATAGATCCTGTCTGCCAAAAGGCCTTTTGTTTTAACCATTGAATCAATCTAGACAACTAGAGAAGGACGTCTGGAGTGGAAAATGAATGAGGCACTACAGCTTTCCTAGGATTTGAAAATAAAAGGGGAAAATGCTAATTAAATCCCCCTTCTAAAAAATCAATTGCGTACTATAATGCAAATCAAGTGTAAAGGATCTAAAACCCCATCTAATTTTGTGTTTATTCTAATTTAAACCCCCTGTTATTGATGAACATTTTGGAACAAGTCAGATAGTTTCTTCTGCATCAAACTAGTGAGTCGATGTGAATCGTCTTGCTACTTGACATTTGAAAAGTAAAGGTTGGTGGAAGAATTCAAACAAAGTATGCAAGTACAAAGGCGGCAAAGAAATATGATGCGATTACAATTATCAATAGCAAATATACGAGAGTATGTGCCGCCAAATTTCCGCAGGCCTTTTAATCGAATGCTACTCTGGCTTCATTATCTGGGTCGTGACCGCACTCTTTGCTTTAACTAAAGGCGCTAATACATTCCAACACACTTCCTCACAAGCCAATTATTCAAATTCAGTGTATATTATCTTTGAAATTAATTGAAAACTCATTAGTCTGGAACTACGAAAGACGATATTTGCCTCAATTAATGCCTTTAACCTAGTTGTTCCGGCGAAGTGGAGTTAAGGGTCTGTGCGATTCCCTGCACAGCAAGAGCGGACTGTTGTCTGCTCATTGTCAGACTGTTAGCTAACGCTTCACTGCAAGCTAGAAACCATCTGTCCAATGTTACAGTTCAGCTCAGGGAAAGACCATTAACCCTCAGAAAACTACAGCTCTGGTAATAGTGCACATGGAGAGGGAAATCTGTTCAATTAGGTTACCATTTGCCCAAAACAAATTCACAATTAGTTTCTAATAAAACGGCACATATATCCACACCAGCCTTTTCATTTTTTTTCCTCTCAAGCACACATTCAGTTTAAGTGCAGTATTATTCTCAGTTATATATATATATATATATATATATTAATATGCACTTTGGTAGCTGTGAAATAACATAAACTGTTTTTTAACATTCAATAAGATTTTAAATTTGAGGTGAAATTATATTTTATAATATATATATATATATATATATATATCCTCACAGAGCAAACCATCAATTAACCCTGCCCTCTTCTGCCCTCTAATCCGAAAGAGTTTTGATATACTTAATTGGAGTTTACCTCAATATTACGAGTTCTTACAAAGGGGGAAAAATGGAAGTGATAAAAAAACACATGGAAGGTCATACAATTCAGAGTGCACTGGAAACCTGTGTGGGTGGCATAGATGAAGTAATAAACTCTTTAACTACTCTTTTAAAAGAATAGATGAAAAATGCATCCAAAAAAAGAGAGAAAAAGTAGTAATTTACTCACAATCATATCATTCCGAAATTGAACTCAGTCTTATGTGAAATACTAGAGATGTTAGGCAGAACATCCAAGCTGATCTTTTCCATACAGTAATTCAGTCATATTGACTTATTTTATTGTGCTTTTTGGTGCATTTTTTGTAATAGTAATCTGCCCTTTTGTTGAAAGGAAAACAACAGCTTACATGTTCTGCCTACTACCGAACAAGTGTTTCAAGTGAGAAAGAAAACAGTACAGGGTTCAAATGACCCGAGGATGAGATTTTTTTCTAGGCAAACCTTTTAAAATTTGGAAGAGAAACTTTTTTCTATTTAAAGGTTTCTGCTCACCCGGATCATAAGCACAGCCTTCCTGATGTCCCTCACACCATCGTATACTAGACGCGAGGCATCAATGAACTCGTTCTCATCCATTGGCTGGCTTGGGTTGGTGCTGAGAGCCTCCACGGCTGCCTCTACCTGCTCAGTGAAGCGTGGCATCACTGTAAACACACACAAACACACACAGAAAGGACAAAAAGTAAGGTCAAAAACACAGCAAACCAAGAGGAATTTTTTTTTTAGATTTTGCTGGAAACAATTCCGTTTCAACTATTAATGAGGGAAAAAAATTAACTTAAATGATTTTAGCAAATGGCTGCAATATAACAGAGTGACAAATTTAAGGGGGTCTGAATACTTTCCGTACCCACTGTAAATGAGCTGAAGTACAATTCAATCAAGACATTGTGCCTGTAGAAATATATAATTAAAATTAGATTTGAATTTAATCGATACGTCCCCCCATCTAACTTGGAACGCCTGAAACAGAGCTGAGTAAATGCAGAAATTCATGGTGGATGAGTTGCTGGATTTTAATGACTGCTCAAGGCAACTTTTAATCAGGCTTTACTTGACTGCGAGAATGGCAGATGAGTACACTTAATCCAGAGGCACCCTTAAACGAATCAATCAGAAGACAGGTGGCAGCAAGACCTCAAAGCCACACAAACTCTCTCTGCATTCAAAGGCTATGGGAACTGGAGACCTTTTGAGGGTTGCTTCCTACGTGTTTTGTGGATGGCATTTACCAATTTATTCCCAAAGGATATTTAATGACAACGACTGTGCGCAACACAAATGAATACCATCCAGCCTGGAGACCACATTTAGAGCTTTGTGCTTAATGAACCAAATGAGAAGTTTTTAAGCAGTAAACCAAACAAACAGACTGGCCGTTAAAAAAATGCAACTGGATTGAGATGGTGATTGCAAAAAGTGTTCATGGCTAGAATAGGGTTTCTGCTTCTAGCTTATCTCTGCTGCATTTCATGCTAAATTTTGGGCTGAACAAGCACTAGGGATATTTATTCAGACTGGGCCATCTGATACCAAACCTTCATGAAATTTGGTTGGCTGATTCACCTGATTCAGCATGATCTATAGCAGTTTGCCCAACCACTTCTTGAAGCCGGCCCTCCAGCCACGCACCACCTCCCAAGCCATAAAATAATAGTCCCTCCCTATAGGCGCTGAACACATCTACAGTAATACTCATTCTCATTCACAATTTAGGACTGCACTGGGGAGTACAGTAGCAGGAACAGATTGAATAGGAAGATGAACATCGGAAATAAGTGAATACTTGGAATTTGCATTAACAAAAGGTTTTCGGTAAGCCTTGAGGCTTACAGGGCATGAGGTTTAACAGTAATTAAAGCAATCGTTAGTGACATAACATCCTCTTCTTTGCCAATATGGCCCAGCTATTTGTTTTAGCACAAAGCTGAACAGAGTACACAAAATGTGACATAGCATTTCCCAAGAGAATGTCTGCAAATGAATGGGAAAATCGTATGCTTTGTCCCACAGGAATGAACCATCGCTGTAATTTTAGTCTTCAAAAGGTTCCTGAAGGCATCCGAATGCTATTATGTAACCGCACATGAAAGTAATACTACATTTTATCTACAAGAAAAGAGTAATAGTATGCTTTATTTTCCTTATAAAGCTAGAGTGCAGATACTGGTCACAGGCAGTGTCTCAAAACTTAGTGAGCTGCCTATCTAGACAGCACTTTTGGCCATAGCCATGTTACGCAACCTTGCGAGGAAGTCGATAAAGTTACTTTTATTTTAAAATCAGCAGTCTTGTACCAACACCCTACAAACCCACTCAAGGAAATTCTGGCCCAGATGGCAGCAGCGCTATTTTTGGACGCCTTTGCAGCATTTTTAGATATTAAACAAGAACAATGGATTTTAAATAGAAATTAGTCACACATACATAAGTGCAATCGCCAAAAATAATATTAAATGGATAGTTCTGACTAAGTTTGGATTGGATGAAGCATGTTCAAAGCAGCTGTTAGACCATGATAAATTAAAGGGGTCATATAATGCGATTTAAAATTTTCCTTTCTCTTTGGAGTGCAAGCTCTTGGTGCATAAAGAAGATCTGTAAAGTTGCAAAGACTAAAGTCTCAAATCCAAATAGATTCTCTTTATAAAAGTTAAGAGTCAACCACGCCTACCTAAAATGGCTCATTCTAACACTCCCCCACATGTCTACGTCACGATGTGGGAAGATTTGCATAATGCCGCCCAAATGTTCACGCAAAGAAAGGCGGCGTAACTTTTATTCTCACTGTAGTATGGTTGCCACCGCCACCATGTTGTGGAGACATTGTGTGTTCCATTATGAAAGCGAAACTACTTTGTTTGGCCTTCCAAAAGTCAGTGGTTAAGTTGTATTTACAACACTGTTCCGGAACAGTTCAACCCAAATATTCAGATGTGTGCAGCACATTTTATGGAGGACTGGGAGAGTATAGCCTACAATGCCGGTCTGTTTCTATAAAGTGGGGCAGTTCCAACATTGCAAGGACAGTCTGGTGCTTCATGACTCACAGACTGTAAGTACGTTTTTATATTTAAAGAATTTGCCACTGACGATTCAAACGCGAGTTTTGAGCAGTGTAGAGTAGCGCTTGTTGTTTGTAATTTCTCCGATCACAAATGCAGACATGGTTTTGTTTACGCAGCGCAATATGCAATGTGTAAAAAGACCGTGTAAGACATTATAATCAGTAATTATGTCCCCCTCGGATGCAACAAATGCCTTTTAAAAAGTTTAAAATGGGTTTTACTGATTTTGTCTTGTTGCGCATCACAGGCGCACGCGCGCACCGGCGCTCGTCACACACACATCACAGTATGGTAAGGGGCGTAACATTTCCGTCACACGCTTGAGGTATTCAGCCAATCACAACGCACTGGATAGCTGGCCAATCAGAGCACACCTTGCTTTTCAGACCGATGAGCTTTGTAAAAATCGACTCGTTTCAGAAAGGCGGGGCATAGAGAAACAATAATGTAGATTGTGGAAAATAATGTGTTTTTTTTTTACCTTAAACCGCATAAATACATTGCATTACACCAAATACACAAAATAATGTGCTTTTTAGCACCATCATAGGACCCCTTTGACATTTATACAACCCTCTACATTGCGAGTAAATCACTCGCATATGCGACTAAATCTTCACTCTGGGCGACTAAATGATGTCTAATATTAGCCAATGGCTAATAAATTCTCATATTTTACTCTCCAGTGTGTGATTTGGAGGCTGAGTATATGATTAGCACAGATATATTTTCACTCACAGAACACTCTGAGCGCATCAGAGTTTCACTCTGTCAAACGATCTGTGATATTTTTCAGTTCATTGGAATGGATGTGCAGCACACCCGTGTTTGTGTATTTGGCGTAACAAACTCTAGTGTGAAGGCGCATGACTCGCTGTCGCTTTCTCTCACACGCGCAAAGAGCGAGAGCAAGCGAGAGTCTTACATAACATGCAGAACTGATGCGCTACATGTAAACGATATACTTTGTTGTATTTTCCTGTAAAAATGTTCCTTTGGAATTCTTCAGCTTTTTAAGAACTGCCGTGGTTTCCTGTAGTAGGCGGAACTAATGCGCAAACGACAATCTCATTGGCTGGTGTTCACCTATTATCGTCCCTGTTTTGATTTCAGTGAATCAGTTCGAGCAAACGCACACAACCTGATTAAAATTCATGAATCCAGTAGCTCATTAATCCTTAGTGCGTTTTTATATTGTTCTTAGTAGAATTCGAATAATAATAATATCTTATCGGTATGATTGCTCTTTTTTTTATTTATTTTTTTACAGGAACACTGAATGACCAAAAAAAAGCACCAGCCCTAAGTTCATGTTACCATGGTTTTATTTCAAGTTTTAATTCTAATTACTAAACTTCTATTATTAAATAATACTGGATTATCATATTATTATGCTTGACTGACTGATATTAAGAGTGCACTTTCAGATATTTAAAAAGCTATTTTACAAACATTATATACGTTTGTAAAATGGCATAACTTTATATATATATACAAACAGGTGCCTAGCCAATGGCGATTCAATTGCCAAGGTGTCCGTAGAGCAGTGGTCTTCACTATTTTCGTCATAGGAGCCGCACTGATAGGGCAAAGTCAATCGGAGAGCCACTTTTACCGTGAAGTATCAAAAGTTACATCCAGTCATAAATAGCATGTCTTTTTATCTGTCATATGCAATGCAATACAAAAGGGGCTATCATTCTTTATAATTTACCAGTCAAATTTGTAACCGAGACGAGATTATAAAAAAAAAAAAAAAACAAGATTACCTTAATGCTGTAAAGACCTCAAGTTATTAAATTTTTTTATACTATGTAACCATGTATGTAACCATCCAAATGCACATTCGGCATTAAGAACTGTTAAGATTAAAACTGGCAACTCCACAGTGAGTCAGTGTCATGGATGTAGGACAGAGCAAGTGTAAATATCTTTTCTAGTCTATATTTCCATCTTGCAATGCCGTTGTTTTAGGTATTTTTTAAAATATATATAAATTTGTAATAGAGCAGACACTGTCTGACCGGGTCTACACCGGACGCGACAGTTGTCATTTTTTGCTGCTCTAAAAGTCTGTCTACACTTGACGCAACAAAGCGACAGTTGCAAATCATTTGAACGTAGTGTCAGTACAGTTCGTCATAAATAGAATGAGGCATCAGTTTACTGATGGGGATCGTGTCACATCGCATGGCGCCACATCCAGTGTAGACAACATCACTGGGTTCTATTGTCTTTTGTCGGATCACGCCACTCGCGTTCGCTGTAGACATGGTGTGAGCTTTTTTTAATGGGTTATGTTATAGCCCTGCTTGTTTTTAATGTTTTTATGAAATATCTGTATTGACTGCATGATCATATCATCGTATTATTTACTGCCATCAGTGCCATGCGAGCTACAAAGTAAAGCTTGGCGAGCTGCATGAGGCTTGCGAGCCGCGCAATGAGTAACACTGCCGTAGAGGGTTGTTATATTACTGCACCAAATAATGCCAATCATAAGCAGTCTACAATTATGCTTATGAGTTTTGATTTAGCAGTATTTGTTTCATATTATTAAATAATGATAATACATAGCCTTTTCCAACACCGCTACTAAAAAAAAAAAAACTACAGATTTTGGCTTATTTTACAAAAAAATTGGCTGTAGCTACAGACATTTATGGCAAAAAACAAATAATTTCAGGTCTATAGTGTTCTAGTTTATACCTGTATTAGTGAGAAGCTTGGTGGCTTCCAGAACCTTTTCTGTGTAGACCCCAGGTTCATAGTTGTCCATCTCAGATGTGACCACATGGACCACACGGGCAGCTCTACCTCGAATGGCTCCAGCGGTGCGATCCAGGCCATCGACATCCTTCTCTTGCAGAGCGATGACACACTTGTTAACATCCTCCAGAATGTGATTTTCTAAAGCAAAAATAAAGAAAAATACACAAGAGAAACCATGTTTAAAATAACTAAGGAAACAACACTGGAGAATGTACAGAATGCTAACCACAATGTAAAGCATGAAGACAGTAAATCCTCATCCTTCATGCTGTATTTACATTGTCCCTGACTTAAGAACATTAACGGGAACCACAAGTGTGGATGAAAAATAGATTAAACACACACTCAGACAGTTTAGTAATGGGTGTCTGGGAAATGCAAACCAACATGGTAAACTGTAATCTGTCCTTGAGAGGAGGTGAAGGCAGTCAGTCAGCCTACAGCTTAACAAGAACTCTTAAAGGCCATGTCTGACAGGGGGATGGTAAGTCTTTAACATTCGTGACAGAATGTCAATTCCACAGGAGAGAATTGACAAGATATTTTGTCTGCTTCTGAGAAGCTAATGAACTTCTTTAAGTGTGGCCACTAAGCAGCCCATGATCGGAAGTGACCCATGCCATCAGTTGCAGAGATGTAGGTATAAAGGCTTTTCACCTCTTCTGCATGAAGCTATTATGGGTCTGGTACAAACAGACAGAAGCCAATCAGCCTATCATTAGATTGAAGTAGGCTGAAATTCTTCACGGTTTAAAAAGCTTGTTCTTTATGACATCTGGTGAGGTTGTGTTATTGCTGAAGACTACTGTCAGAAAGTGTTTAAAACACTTACAAATTAAACGTATGAAACGGACCATATGGTTCAGATACTTAAAGCAACTGTGCACCAAGATTTTTGGAAAGAAATTAATACTACTTAATACTAAATAGATCAAAAATGACAGTAAAAGGCATGCATAATGTAACAAAAGATTCCCATTCCAAATTAAGGCTGTTCTTTTGAACTTTCCATTCATTAAAAAAAATCCTGGAAGAAATACAGTTTCCACAAAATTAAGCATGCATATCTGTTTTTAACACTGATAAAAACAAAATGTTTCTTAAGGACCAAATCAATGAGAATGATTTCTGAAGGATCGTGTGACACTGAAGATTGGAGTAAAGGCTACTAAAAATTCAACTTCGCCATCAGCAGATAAAATAATTTTCAGTGAATAATTAAATTTTTGGTCTTTTCCCCATTTCATGGTACTTTTTGAAAAGAGCAAAATGAATATTCCGCTAAGCATCACAAGTGTAGAGTAAATGAGCATGGTTGTCATTGAAGGTGAACCATCACTTTAACACTAAGAGCCAAGATACAGCTCTACACTTTGTATCGTGGGCTTACCAGACACGCAGAGGAAGTCGTCAATGGAAGTGATGTCATCCACTGCGTCAGTAAGCACTCGTACCTGTTTCTCCCACTGGTCCTTAAACAAATCCATGTTATCCTGGGCCACTTTGCTGTTAGGCTTGGCAGCCAGGGCCAAGGCTGCATTAATCACCTGCAATTACCACAAGCAACCCATTAATCCACTTTAAGACGTACAAGAACCAAAAATCACATCTACACATATGCAGATTAATTATCTGAGCCCATGTCCTCCCCGCAACAACCTTCTAAAAACACAATTACAATTGTTTCAGATTACGACTGAGATTAATGAATAAAATAAACCATGTTTATTTTGATGGAAAAACACACAAGTTCAAAGCCCCAGGATGAAGGATATAGTCATTGGAGCTCAGAATAAAAAGCAGTCAAAGCCACAGTGGAGTGAGGGACATACTGCAGGCGCATGTGCGAAATGCTGCGTACCTGAGGGCAAAGTGTTTCCAGTTGGGAAGCGGCCATCCGTACCAACTTTACTCCCTCCTCATTGTTTGAGATGGAGCATGCAAGGTTAGCTACCTACAACAGAAGAATAACTCAGCTTTTTAATCATATGACAAATGAACAGCGAACAAAAAAAAGTTGGTTTTCCATCCCTCAAACAAACAGTTTTAATTTAACACACACCTGCTGTCAGCTGTTGATCTGATTATTTGATAAAATGGTAAAATAATACAGCAGGAAAAAAGCGCACAAGAGGATTAAGTAAAAATAAAAGCAAAGCCTGAAATTGAGGTCTGGTCGTCTCCCCACATGGGAATATATTTCATATAATTCACAGGCTGACAGCGTCAGGGAGTGGTTCCTAGAGACGATTAAATCACCATTCTGCCAGGCAGCTGTTAGCTCAGGAAAGTGAGAGAGGCAAATATTCCTGACACTTTCAGAAACTCCACAAGCCGCTGAAATCCAGAGTGCTGAGGCAAGCAAACCCACTGCCTGTTGCTGATGTTTTTAATGTTATAGAGTAAATTGTCATTTTGACCCACAATCTCCCTCCTTACTCACGATTTGCCAAACATTCACTGCAAACTGACGTTATTTGCAGCAGCCAGTCTTTTGAGGCAAGAAATTCGATTTTTAGGGTTCTCCTGCCTCGCTTTGGCTGCACAAGCACCTCTATACAGTGAAGTAAGCACGGCACGTTGCCGAGTAGCTTTATTACTTGAGGCGAGAGTCGTTTTAATTAAATGTTACGGAGAAGTTTCTCATATTTGTTTAGCGGGACTGCTTGGAGTTACTCTACCTTATCGTAATGTGCAAGAATTGGCTATGCCAGGAATGGGAAATCCAGAACACAAGTGGAGTGTAAATGTGAACAGAGCTCAGCGCAGTCACAGAAAACGCCCCACTGACTACAGGAGTACCACAGCCGACGCTCTTCCACTCGCTCTCTCTCCCTTAAGCACCATACTGGGAATCTCTCGAACAGCAGGGTGCCATTAGCAAACACACTAGTCAAGCATTAAAAACACGTATACATGCCAACACTTTGAACAAGGAGCACTTCAGTATGTGCAATAACATTTAGCAGCTAAATCTCATCCGATTTGATTCCACAGTACCTGGTCTCCAGTGGTCAGTGAAAAATCTCAAGCCCACCTCATAGCATATACAGTAACTATGATACACAAGCTGCTTGACATGAAATATCTGATGGAAATGTCCTAAGGGCCACTAGTCTGCATATCTATTGGCCACTCTGGAAGATTGCAACCAGAAGGCTGCCGATTCAATCCTTGCAGGGAACGATCCTTGACCATTACCATGGTGCCCAAGAGCAAAGCAGTTAACACCAGACTTGTGCAGGGGTATTTTTACCCTTTTAATAAGCTCATGGTGGCATTCTATACAAGTTTCGTGCTAATTACTGCTGGACTAGCTAAATAAATTAATAAAAATGAACAAAGAATGATTCATTTACCCATTACAATTATCAAAAATGTTTATGCATTTGTTATTTGGCCAATGCATTTCCTACAGTAAATAGACCAGTTTCCAATTTTTCTGCCACCAGCTAATGAGAGTGTTACGACAAAGACATTTTAATAGCATCTCTGATTTAAGAAAGTCTAACACTAACTAGTTTGACCTGCAACAATCAAAATGTCAATCAATAGCTTGCAGCTCTGCATAATTTCAGAGTCATTTCCATTCAAGCCCCCATCCTCTTCCTGAGGCTGTTCTTTCTTGCAGTAACATCCCATCAGTGCAGCTGGTATTTCACCCCTCTATGGCACCGCTGGGTCAATCAAGGGGCGAGTTTGTTCTTATACAAGCTGCCTAGCACATACAGTATGCAGCAAAGTGGATCCACTCTCCATTCCTAAAGCTCAAAATAAGGAACTGACTAACAACTTTGACAACTTCAGCAGTGCTCATTTGCAGATAAATGTCAAGCAGATTCAGGACGAGGAACAATCCAGGTTCATTGTGAGCTGATTCTTATTTCCTGTTCAGGTAGATTATGGGTCTTATCACATTGATCGTTAGATATTCCCACGCAGATAAACTGGAAACGTGTGCTAGATTCAGAGAGAAAAAAAAAATCACTGCAACAGCTATTTATTTAGGTCCATGAAGAAAAAAAATACACAGTTTTATATATAGAATATATATGGCTCTGTTTGCATGACTCGCATAAAGATCAGTGCCTCAATACATTATGTGACACCAAATGGACACCAAGACACCATCTTTTCTTAATGTTGTACACCTTCAAAGTTGTGTCATTTAACAATGCGTCTATCATATTTACATGATCAAAGTTTAAATCGAATGAACTGTTTTAAAAAGCTGTTTTTCTCAATTTTATTGTACTCCGTCTAGCTTTTCTAAATGCAAAATCGCACATTTGGTATGAACTGCCCCTTAAAATGCTCAATATTGCATTCATTTTGCATTTAAGACAAAACACAAGCTTGCAAAATGAAAACAAATGAACTACTATTTTGGAGTAAATTAAGAAAGTCTTCAACGTTTATTAAATTGCAACACTCATTTTAGTCTTCTCTCTCTCCTTTCGTGCTTCCTGTCTCTCTCACATTTTCTGTCGCACATGTAGTTTAGTCCCTGCACAATCGCAGTGTTCATTGAGCAGCCAGGAACCTTTGAGAACAAGGCCTTGAGGCAATAAAACTAAGCTTGTTCTATTTTTATCCCGCTTCAGGAATGATGCATTTCAGGGTATAAAAACCGAACCGCCACCGTGTTTCTGCGACCAAGAACCGACACTCACAGCCAAGCTCCTGCTCTTCCTGCAAGCTCAGAAGTTCAAAGTCAACATAAGTGGCTTTCAAAATGGGGAAAAAAGGGAAATTAACAAATAGGTAACGGTGGAGTACTCTTGGGATGTATGTAGGTTGCCAGGAGGGTCTCCAACGGCACTGACTGCGATGCAAAAGCCGGTGGTGAATGGTGAATGGTGGTATCCGAGAACACTATTGAGAGAGAGAGAGAGACAGATGAGGAGATACGTAGCTGGCACTTTTTACAGCCCTTGGAGAGTGTCGACTTCATGCCTTCTGCAGGAGTAAAAAGATAGTGAGGGGAGGGAAGAGTTGGCTGCAGTTCCCTTCCTGTCGTAGCCATGGATGCTTCATTGTACTGCAAATTAAATGGCCTCCCTACAGCAATAACTACATCCATATTTAAACTCTAAACAGAGCAAGGGGGAAAAAAAAAAAAAACTGCATTACACTATAAATCTTACTTGTTTATGGAAAGTGGGCCACATTTATAAAAGCAGGATACAATTTAAAGAATAATCTTATAATTATAACTTCACAGACACACTATTTTATTATTATTATTTTTTTTTTTTAAAGAAGTTTCTTCTGCATTTATTTTATCAAAAAAAAAAAACAGTAATATTGAGAAATATTATGATTTAAAATAAGTTTTCTATTTTAATATCCTTTAAAATATAGCTGAATTTATGACTGAAAATATATTATAAATGAAAGGAATGTTTTTTTTAAACATTTCATAAAATCTGTGGGACACTCGGGCCATGCTATGACTTCTTTAAGAATTGAAAAAACACTTTACATGCATACGTGTACTTTCAGTCACTTCTTACTTTCATTTTATATTAGGCTGGGCATAATAAAAGTTCAGGGTCATTATTTAACCATACTAAAGGACGAGTGCGAATGCAAGAACAGAGTTAAGAGGTTAAAATGATCTCCCTTCTGCAACCATCTCTCGCTGCAAGGCACACCTTCACTGCCTGTCAAACACATATTAGACTATCCTTAGTGATGAAAGCCATCGGCAAACAGAGGAATTCCCATATATGGCACATCGTTTCAACCCACTGTGTTCGTTTTGTTACAGAAGGCAGCTACATGAATGCGGGAAAAATCCGTAATGCACATGAATACATTTCCTTGCCAACAGATTGGATGCCAACCAGCAGTGAGACGCTCCAGCTATTTCAGACAATGCAGTTTTTTCCCTCATAACCTACATATTCAAAACCCCTCTACCTTCCCTCCACCATACAAAGCAGACAACACAAGGTCAAGCATAAGCTGACCCACTACACAGCCGGAATACAGGCTTAATGCATTAGCAATTTGCTTTACATTAAAGAAATAAGAGAAGCTGTGCGTAGGGCTGTGACAAGAACCACGTAAATTAGATGCCAATCGCGGTGTTTGGCACAACTGTGGTCTTCTCCGTAAATATTTTTTTTTTGCTAGTGAAAGTATAAACAATAATCATTGTTTGTCAATTTACTGTCTTCCGTCTCAGGGGTGCCTGCAGGATTTCTTCCAAGGGTATGCACAGGTTTTTTTTGTTTGTTAAAAAAAATTTTTTTTTTGTTCGTTAAACGTAAGTTTTTGTTTTTTTTAAAGTAATGACCAAGCAGCCAGCGGCAGACAGTGAGCTGATCGTAGCCTATGTTTGATCAATTTAGCCTTCTCAAATCATCACAACTTGCCTAAAATAAAATCTATAGATATAAAACAATTCAAGCATATCACAATGTTAGTTTAAATGTTTAACCTAGATAGATGTGCGCTGTTAGACTCATATCCAATCGTTTGTGTGGAGAGTGGAAGCTGAAGCTCTGCAGCACATACACTCTTAAAAATAAAGGTGCTTCATGTTGCCATTGAAGAACCTTTTTGTCTAAATGGTTCCATAAAGAACCTTTAACATCTGAAGAACCTTTCTGTTTGACAAAAGGTTCTTTGTGGCAAAATAAGGTTCTTCAGATTACAAAAGTGTAAGAGATGGTTCTTTAAAAAACCTTTGACTGAATGGTTCTTTGTGGAACCAAAAATGGTTCTTCTATGGCATCGCTTGAAGAAACTTTTGAAGCACCTTTATTTTTTAAGAGTGCAGAGGCACCAGCACGATCACTTGCATTTTTTTCTAACAGTGGAAACAACTTAGAATACGCAGTCATTTTTGCTCATAAAGGTAAGAGTAATATGTCATTCCAAACTGTAAAGGGTCTACTTTTATTTGTTGTCGACTCACAATATCAACCAAACGTTGTGCTTTTATAAAAAAGAAAACAAACGCTTTCTGCCGTCTCTGGCTTGAACAGGAGCGCTTCACAATGATGAACCTAAACTCAGCGAATTGCCTCAGACATGATAGAAATATATAAAAAGTTTTAAATTACTACTTTAAAATGAAATCATTCAAATCGAAAATAGAAACTCTTTCATTATGTAATCCGTGCATTTCTCTCTAAAGGCACATCCAATGAGGAGATGGCGAGTAATTTTTTTTTTTCATCACCATAACTGATGGATGTCTAAAAAATAAAAATAAGGAAAAGCCTAAAACAGGCCCGATTATAATTTGCGTTTTATTTTATAATTTAGTACAATTTAAAAACAGCTTTAATATATACATCGAAGTCCTAGAATCCGATAATGCAGCGCTGAAGGAGGTCACGGATTTAACAGATGCACTGTCTTCCGAGAAGACAGTTATTATCTGAGGATATTTTGCTCTCAACCGAGGAAGACACGGAGTTGACGCGCAACCTAAAAAGAAAAATGGTTACCGTCATGGAAGACAAATATAGTGCAGAGTGATGGCAGGGATGGAGAAGGTGCCATGCGTACCTCAGCGGCTGGAGAGGGAGAAGGAAGTGCACCATCTCCTCCTCAAAAAAATAAATACAAATCTTGCAGACCTGCTTGGAAAGAGAAAAGCACAGTCCTCCAATTCAGTCCCAAAAAGAATCCGTACAGACACTGAAGTCGCAAGGTATTTGCAGGAGGAAGCCCTCGATCTGCACTCTGATCTGCTTGCCTGGTGGCGGGATAATCAGGCTCGATTCCCTCTTCTTTCGAAAGTTGCCAGAAAATGTATGACTATATGCACTACGAGCGCTCCCTCGGAGCGTGTATTCAGTGCAGCTGGCAACATTGTCACTCCGTTAAGATCTTCGCTGAAACCAGACAAAGTGAACATGTTGGTTTTCCTGGCAAGAAACTTGAAGACCGAAAAATAAAGCAGCAGGACTTGTCGATTCACTTAAGCGGCCCAGTAGTTTACCAATGATGTTCCTGATGTTCCCTTATGTTGCACTTTGAAAAACCCAAATCAGATTCAAACACTTATGTTCCACTTTTAAAAATGTTGTTATAAATGTAGCCTTAAGTTAAATACTATTAATGATAATTTGCTGTTAAATGATTAAAAACTGTTTCAGTCGCAAATGCGACTGAAATGGTCGCACTGTCGAGCCCTGGTTGCGATTAACCGCCAAACCACAGTGATTTGTTGGGTCTTCACCGCGGTAAGAAAAATCCCATACAGTCACAGCCCTAGCTGTGCGTTAGTCGTTTTACTGGTAATGGATGTTTTTAGGCAAAGTCTGTCTTTTTATTGATTTTGCTACCTTAAAAAGACATGTTAAAATTACCATTATTATTATTACTATTATTATTAATGTTGTTATTAAAAAATATATATAAAAATAAAATGCTCATCAAGTAATATAACCTGAAAGTCTAAATATAAAAAGTTCCTACCTGTGCAGATGCGCAACTACACTTTCACACATACATCCAAACAATTTTATAAAATATGAATAGATAGCAGATTGCACTTAATATATTCAAAGACAAAAACAGACCTTGCCTCGGCACAAGTGAGGGAAGCACACAAACCACAATCATTTGTAAACGCCCCTCATATGCAATTATCAAAATGTTCTTGTAATCCAGGTTTGGATTAAGATTGGAATTAGGGATGGGCGATATGGGCTTAAAAATATATCACGATAATTTCTGATATTTATTGCGATAACTATCAATGACGATAATTTAGGGAATCCTGTTTCTTTAGAGAAAAGTATTATCTTTCCTATTTTTACCCAAAATAGGGTGTTGTCAGCATTACTGAGTACACACGTAATGTAATGATTGGACGCCGGAGGGCGCCCTTGCGCAGAAACTCCACATATGCATAGAAGTAATGCTCCAGGAAGAAGTATCCAGTGATCGCTGTAGCTGAATAAAACGCAGATAAAGACATTTGAACTGAGGAAACCTGAAGACAATAAACATGCGATTGCACAAAATATATGGTATCTGTGTTCTTCAAGCAATCTTGGGTATTTTTTAGAAGGATAAAGTATATTTATAAAGAAATGCTAATCGACATAGCTTTTATCACTGTATATAATGCTATAAAATAGTATGATTTCTGCCTTATTCTGTGATACGAAATCACGTCGGATCACAAAAATAAGTTATTTCAAACACTCGACTATGTTATGAAGTTAATATGGAGAAAAATAATGTAAATAAATTAAAATATCTTTGTTGGACAACAGGTTTGTAAACGACACATACACATGTAAAACTCTGTCGCACACGTGCTGCTGTAGTACATTTACTCAAGGCTCAGACCGATTTTTGTCACATTGTACAGCCCTATCCAAACCGGTTCCAGATTGTAGAAGGAGCTGCTCAATTTCACGTCCGCCTTCCTTCACGTCACTCCACACAGTCGCACACAGAAATGTGTCAACAACTAGACTTTATCGTTATTATCGCGAGAAGACGAATTCTTATCGTGCGGAGAATTTTTACCGGTATATCGCAAACGATAAGATATCGCCCATCCCTAGTTGGAATGCATATGACGCGACAACTGGCTAGTGTCAAACCAAGGCAATGAAAAACGTGTGAGAGAGAGGCAGACGGATGTGACTTTTTGGAGACGTGTGGTGTTTCAACTATCTTTAGCCCCCAGTGAGACTCTGAGACTTTTACTCATTATCCCTCCTTTTCCCTTCACTTTGATTTCCTTCACCAGTCTTCCCCTCAAAGCAGCGTGTCACACGAGGGCCGGGCCTGCCCCCTGTGGGGAGAGGTCAGTCTGAAATGTCGCTGGATGACGTGTTACCACAGGGACTAAGATGAACAGATTTGAAAAACTAATGAGGATAGCTAACATTTCTGTCAGCTTGTCACTGGCCCTGCCAATGCGAGCATGAGATATAAAGCCCCCAGTGATTCAGCATGAAAAACATCTATCTGGAAAATAAAACACCATAAGAGACATGGCCTATTTATCGGTCATGAATACGGTCACCACAAACAGACACGACAATGCAGATTTCTCGTGAAGTCCATCAATAAGACACTGGATATCCAGCTGTTTCACATTTCCCCACCGAGGCAACACTTAACCTTGGGCTCGGAGGAGTTTCACTCTTTGGCTGTGCTTAAAATGTGATTCACAGTTGTGACTGCCCATACAAATGCAGTGATTCCCTGGCTGTGGCATTGTAAACCCAGCAGCCTTACTGCATTTGTACAGCACTATAAAGTGTAAGTTTGACTCCTGTCTGACACTTCACAAAAAAATATATGAAGCATAAAAGATAAAAGGGCTGTGACACGCTCGCTTGGATCAAGCTGTCAAGACACAGTGACTTCAGTTGCATTCCAACATAAATAGTGATGGTGCTGACTATTGATTAAAATTTATTCAGTTTTTACATCAGCTTACATGTTGGAATCAGAATGGAAAGTTTCTCCCCTTCAAGTGTGTATTAACTACTTGCAGAAGTAACAGCTTTCCATTTTTTTGTTTTGTGGGTGGCATAAGGCACTTTTAATTAGCGATTTGTAAAGCTATATATTACTCTCAAACCAGAAACTCCTCTAGTATCTGGTATAATTAGGATGTTTCAGGGTGTGGCTCGTCAATAGGGGAACTGACACACATCCTACAAACTATCTAATGATCTAACAAATAAGGCTAAATATTTAAAAACTTCTATTGCACAGAGCTATCATTGTTCTCACAATATCTACAGATTATGCATAATAATGGAAACGTTGCTCACAGCAAGTGATTTGAAGTCTGACAGTAATTGTCTTGAAATCTGTTGAAGGCTGCAAATTTGTTACAAAAGCGATGCTTTGATGGGGATGAATTTAGAGATGCAACTTCTCTGCAGCACGTTCTACCATGCTGTCAGCATACCAAAACCCTATCTGAGAAGCAGAGCCTCTTAAATCATCCCCTTTCAAGCACAGCATCCTAAAATATGAAAGTTCAAAAAAACATTAGATAAACTAATTGGTCGACCACCATAATCGGTTAGGCTGTCTTTCCTGACTCATCTCTACATTTAATTTAGTCTGGCAAAACACCTCGCATTTCGTTTCATGTTAGTGACAAAAACAACAAAAGCAAGTCAGCGGACAAAATCAATTTTGGATCAGAATTGGTCTGTGGATTTCAACACAGACTTCTACCATAAATCCCCTAAAGAATCCCCTAAAGAGCTTATCTGATTTCATGAAAAATATCAACCAATGTCTTAGACAACAAACCTACAATCACCAATCATGTGTGCTCTCTTCGAGATGCCATGTTAAACAAAAGAATAGCTAGTCTGGAGGAGTACAAATAATGTTCCATCATTTGTTTTGAAATAATTCCAGAATTTAAAATCTGCAACAGACAAGGGACAGTAATTGGCACTTTATGGAGCAGAAAACAGGTGCCTACCTCAATCAGTTTGTTGGCGTGCTCACGGAAAACTTGGGCATATTCCTTCACCTCCTTTTCATTACCATTCTTGGCAGCCTCGATCAATACCAGCAGTGGAACATTGGTCTCCAGAAAAGAGTCCGACACATGGTCCATCACAGCCTTCCGCAGCTGAAACGATGAACACACAAACACACAAATCCTTAGCTAGTGTTTGATGACTCAGAGCACCTGGGTTTGATATATTCATTTTTTAATATGCAATGTAAACAACGTGCATCTAAAGAGAGACAGTCATGATATGTCATTAAAGAGAAGGACATTCTTGTTGACAGCTATAATCAAAATGAATGTGATTCTGTGCACTGCTTCAAGGTGAACAGACCTGTCTGCGCAGGTCACGGGTCTTCTTAGTCATCCTGTCGATGGCCATGTTCAGGGCATCGCTCTTCTCTTTATGTCCAGCCTGTGATAAAAACAAACAGGGGGAGATTATACTTAGTCTTATTTAAACTGGTTATAGTCAGGCTCGCTGGGAAAAAGAAAAACGACAGGTGGGAGTTAAAGCTGAGGACTGAAAGGACAAGACAAACTTATGAGATATGATGGATAAGATGCATTTTTTACAGAGGAAGAAAAAAGCAAAACAGCATGAGTCACTTAGATGGTTACAACCCCCTGTGGCAAACATTTCATTTCATTCTTAAAAACTTTGTAGGGGTTTTGGTTCTTTTACCCCCCCCCCCCCCCCCTTTGTTTTTTTTTTTTTTAAACATCTTCCTGGTTTGGTCGGGGGCAC